GCTCTGGGCTGACAGCAGAGAGCCCAGTGCAGGGCTCAAACTCAGCAACTGTGAGATCATGATCTGGGCCAAAAAATTAAGAGTTGGACGCTTAACTGACTGAGCCACCCAGGCGCCCCTGAAAGCGTACATTTTAAATATAGAGACATGGAGGGGAACATAAATGCGCGCACGCGCACACACACACACACACACACACACACACACACACACACACACAGCTCTATCCACTGAGAGGCCCTGGGAACACTGACACACCAGCAGCAAAAAGCATTCCAGAGCCCAAATTCTGGGTTTTATTTTTTTCTTTTACATAAAGAAAAACAAAAATAGTTTTTCTTATGATGAGAACTTTTAAGATCTACTCTCTTAGCAACTTCCAAATACGTAATACAGAATTATTAACTATAGTCACCATGCCATACATTATATCCCCAGGACTGACTTACTTCATAACTAGAAGTTTATGCCTTTTGGCCTCCTGCACCCAGATCCTGGTTTTTCAGTATCTTTCTTTCCTAAAGAAACCAGGTATCCTTGAAGAAATGTCTCATTTCCAGGTTGGGGCAATATGCGGAAGCACCTGTCGATTAGCTTTTCTAATTGTCATGTTAAGTGCCTGGCATTAAGCTTCCGATTGCTGAGGCATTCACTGATTGCTGAGGCATTCACTGCGAGTCATTCCATCTCAAATAAAGACAGCCACACTGGATGAAGAGCCACATTACACCACCCATAAAGTTCCCTCTTCTTGTAAGAAAACTCAGGATTAGGGGTGCCTGGGTGGCTCAGTCGGTCAAGCGTCCAACTTCGGCTCAGGTCAAGAAGATCTCACGGTTCATGAGTTCAAGCCCCACATCAGGCTCTGTGCTGGCAGCTCAGAGCTTGGAGCCTGCTCCAGTTCTGTGTCTCCCTCTCTCTGCCCCTCCCCTGCTTGTGCTGTGCCTCTCTCTCTCTCTCTCAAAAATGAACATTAAAAAAAAATTTCTTTTGTAAAGAAAACTCAGGATGACAGAGATAACTGACCATCTCTGACCGCTGGCTTTTCCCATGCCTTCATTCCCACTTATGTTCTCAGTTCACCAAGAAAGAGTGAACTTGCAAAACCCCAGGCACCCTACCCAACCTCTGTAGAGGCAGAACCCCAAATCCAGGTGTGTGCATGCCCAGGCATGCCGTGCACTCTCTAGAACCTATGGGTAATAAACCTTGTCATTTCTAAAGTTCCCTGATGGTTATCGCTGAGACTCGTCTTGCAACCACGAGAATCACACGAGCTGGTCCGACCACAACACCGGCTGCAAAAGGGACAATGCCCGCGGGGCTGTCACAAAAGTAGCAGAGCCCAGGTGAGCGGTGTCCCAGGCTTTCCTGACAAGGGCACCTCCCTTCACAGGCTGACAGAAGCACAGAACAGGCAGAGAAAGCTTGAGATGAGCCCACAACACCTTACACTCAAGGAATCACGAAGATGCGTCCAAAACACAGAGGAGACTGCGCAAAGGGCTCTCACCAGACAAATCTGGGATGCTCCCAGCATCACGTAATAAATGGCGAGGAGTCAAATCATTAAGTAACAGAAGAATCCGTGAATCCTTACTGCCACAGAAACACGAGAGAAGAGAAAGCTCTTGCATTCTAGAATGCAAATATAGAAGGAACCATGGAGTTAGGAAATTACCAATGAAGTTAAAACTCATGGGTGAAAGTCTGATGTGGAACACGGTACTTGTATAATTCCAAATGATCTCTACAAATTACTAATTATGAAACAAAAAAATAATAACTGTACAGAGGATCAAAAAAAAAAAAACCTATACATAGGCTCCTGGGTGGCTCAATCAGTTAAGTGTCCGACTTTGACTCAGGTCATGATCTCACAGTTCGTGAGTTCGAGCCCCACATTGGGCTCTGCGCGGACAGTGAGGAGCTTGCTTGGAATCTCTCTCAACCCCTCTCTCTGCCCCTCCCCTGCTCGCTCTGTCTCTCCCAAAATAAACTTAAAAAAAATTTTTTAAAGATTAAAAGAAAAAAAACCTCTGCAAATCCATTATGTATTATTTAGATGACAATAATTAATATGCAGAGACGGCCTAACAATGAACACCATTTCACCGATTCACCAGGGTAAGGAAATTTCTGAGGCCAGACAATAATAGCCTGTGAAAGTAGAGATTCTACTTCTCTTATTCATTGCTTTATCCCTAGCACGATACTGGATACCACAGAGGTGCTCCAGAATTTGTTGTTGAATAAATGAATGTCTATGAATCATGAAGCAAAAAAGAGAAACGGACCTTCAGATTTTGCTAACCCTGGTAGCCTGGTACCTCCAAAGAAGCCCAGTTCAGGAGCTGGAAGGCTGGATTCTGGTCCCAGACTGCCCCCTGCTCCAATTCTACAAATTCAGCACCTCCACGACCCTTTGCCAGTCACCTAGTATCTCAGTGTCTCAATTTCCTTCCAAGAGAACAGTACAGATCTGTGAGCTTTAACCACCAAACAGCTTGAAACATACTGGGTCACTTATTCCCTGTAGAAAATGCTCATGCAATTAGCAGTGGAACTTACGCAGATGAGGACACCCTGCCCTGAAAGGCCCTCTTTAAAATTCCGGTTTTGAAGAGAAAAAGATGCATGCTTTTCATTAGGAAAATAGACATCAAAACCACATGAGACGTCAGCTCACACATATCAGCAGGGCTACTGTCAGAAAATAAACATCAAGTTGGGTGAGAACATGGAGAAACTGGAACCCTGGCGCAGAGCGGTGGAAATGTAAAATGGTGGGGTCACAAGGGACAAATATTACGATTCCACTTACAGGAGGTACTTAGAGTTGTCAGATATGGAGAGACAGAAAGAACTGTGGTTGCCGGGGGGCTGGGGGAGGAAGGAGAAACTGGAAGCTCGCACTTGACGAAACACCAATAAAAGATGAAAACTGTTATGTAACAGTGTGAATGCATTTAACATGACTGAACTGTACACTTAAAATGGTGAGGGGGGTGGGGCGGTGTCCGGGTGGCTCAGTCGGTTAAGCTTCCGACTTCGGCTCAGCTCGTGATCTCACAGTTCATGGTTCAAGCCCCACATTGGGCTCCATGCTGACAGCACAGAGCCTGCTTGGGATTCTCTCTCCCTCTCTCTCTGCCCCCTCCCGACTCAGGTTCTATCGCTCTCTCTCAAATAAATAAATATTTAAAAAGATAAAAAGATGGCAAACTTTACGTTACATGTATTTTACCACAATTTTTTTTTAATTTAATGAGAAAAAAATTCTGCTAGGTGTACCACCGGAGGAACTCCAGACTTTGCTAACTTTCTGGTGGTATGACCTTGAATTAGCCACACAATCTCTCAGTACTGGCCTCTGGGAAACAGGGAGAACACCTCCCAAGGCTGCTGAGGGCGTCAGCCGGGGTTTCTTTCAATACCACAAACACCCACCCAACATGCAGCCACTCTGGAAAACACTATAGAGGTGCCTCAAAAAGTTAAAATAGAACTACCTCCTAACTAACCAGCTAGCAAC